GGGCTGCATCAGATGACTTCTAGAAATTCCTTCCAACATTAACCATCCTGTGATTTATGTGATCTATAACCAGAGGGGTCTGACTACTCCTGTCCCCAGTCCTCTGAACCTACCGGAGGTTGATGTCCCTGCAGTCACCCAGCCAGAATTACCTGGTGCTGTAGGGAGAGAGCAGCAGGAGAACACTCAGCATTTTATGTAAAAGGAAGGGTTCTCTGGGAGTCACCCCACTCCTAAAGGGACACTGAAGCACAAGACCCACAGTCACCACCTGGATCATGGAAGGTCCTTGTGTGGCTGCACCTCCAAGCCTTCCCCCTCCATCCCACCAGCCCAGAGTGCAGCTTGTGCTCTGCATATGCAAGAGCTCCCATCAGCAGGGACTCCATCATCTTTGCTAATTGTTAATTGTTGGAGTGATGGGACAGAGCAGACCCTCAACAAGTTTGCTCATGACACCAAACTGGGAGCAGTGGTTGGTCAAGCAGAGGGTCCTGCTGCCATCCAGAGGGACCTCCACAAGCTGGAGAAATGGCCCACCATGAACATCAGGGAGGACACCAAGGACAGGTGCCGAGTGCTGCTCCTGGGGAAGAGCAACCCCCCACACCAGCAGGAACTGAGGGCCACCCACTGGGGAAACAGCTCCCCAGAACAGGCCCTGGTGAGCGCCAAGTTCAGACAGAGGCAGCAATGGTTTAGCAGGGGCTGTTGGACTAGACGATCTGCAGAGGTCCCTTCCAACCCCAGCTATGCTGTTATTCTGTGACTCTGAGCAAGACCAAGATATAGCCAGATCCCCCAACCCCTCCACACTTAAAGCTGATCAACAACACAGTGGGAGTTCAGCTGGAACTACTTCATGCTGGAGGGGTAGAGCAGTAAATGAAGTCACAATGTTTCACCCAAGACCAGGAGCCCAGGGCGGGTCATCCCTCCCCAAAGCAAATCCAGGGATACAGGAACCCAAACCCCACAGTCAACACTGTAACCTGGGGGGACCCAGCAAGAGCCACCTCAGCCATCCTGGGACTCTGTGACCCTCACCAGGGACAGGAGGTGACCAGACCCCTCGAGCCCTCCAGCCCCAGCTGAGCTCAGGGACACGGGGGAGTGGTGCTGGAGTCCCCAGTGCTGCAGACAGAGAGCAGCAGCCGCACTTGCTCCTCCACACAGCTGCCTAAAGGAGTTCAGTGCACTGCCTCTGAGCACATCAGCCCTCTTGATTTTAGGAAAACAAGTGGTTAACCATGAGCAGGAACATTGGTCTCAGCAGCAATGAGAGTGCCAGGAACCAAGTAACTCCTCTGCCTTCAGTAAAGGTCCAAAAAAAAGATGACGAGCCCAGTGGCAGCACTGGGGGAGGTGGAGAAAGCCCCATCCCTGCCCACCAGGCAAAGAAACTGGGTCAGGCAGCAGCCTCATGGCCGTGCTGTCCTGAAAGATGCCCCTGAGAAACGATGCCCATCAGTGGGCCCATGGGAGTCAGGAGCCATCAGAAGCCCTTTAAGAGAGAGAGAGCAGCTCTGGTCTTACCTGTGGTGCTGCTGAAGGCAAGAAATGAGGAGTAGTAGGCCTGGAAACCTCTGCCGGTGATGCTGTAGTCGCTGCGGAACAGGATGGTGAGCTGGTGGCCGGAGGATGTGAAGACTCGAGAGTCGTTGGTGCAAACAGTGCCCAGGAGCCGCCCCCCGGGGGAGCCGCCGTCGAACACCTCGATGGCATCGTAGGAGCAGCTGCCGCCTTCCAGCCTGGCAGGGACAGGGCGCTCGGTGGGCACCGCAGGCTGTGCCGCCTCCCGGCACGAGCCACGAGCCCGGCCAGAGCTGCAGGGCTCGGCCGAGGCCCCACAGTGGGCACGGAGCCCCCCCTGAGCCCACGGCCAGCCCTCCCCCCCGGGACTCACTGCACATCCAAAAACTGGAGCTCCACTCTGCTGGCCGGGTCCCGCAGCCGAATGCGCCACACGCAGCGGGCGTTGTTGGGGTAGGAGTTGGGGTAGCCCGGGCTCTGGATGGAGCCCCACAAAGCCTGCAGTAAGCCACCACAGGAGCCTGGCCCTGCGGAGAGGAGCAGAATCTGGGCATGGGCAGAGACCTCCTGGCATCCCATGGCCGGGAGCCGTCAGAGAAAGGCCCCACCAAGGAGGCTCTGCCACAGCCCCACAGAGACCCTCCCTCCCGGCCCCATGGCACCACCCCAAAGCATCACCCTGGTGTCCCCCCAGCCCAGAGCATGGCCTGTGCTCGGCCTGTGCAGTAACCCCAGTCTGTGGGGTTGGCCATCCAGCATCTCTCCATACTAGGAGATGGCCAAAAGCCGCCTTACCACGGTCTTGAGCAGTCAGCTCCAGGTGACCCTGCTTTAGCCAGGCCAAACTTAGGACCCCATTACTCCAAGGTGCCTTCTAACCTCGGTCATCCTTTAATTCTGTGGTCCATAACTGAGGGCAGAAGCTAGTGAGACCCCATAACCCCTCTGGACATACCTGCAGTCCATGGCACAGGGGGCATCACGCTGGAAGTAGCTGTCACAGCAGGGAGAGAGCAACAAGTGTGAGAATGCAGTGCTTTGCCCAAGAGGATCACCCCTCTGGGAGGTGCCCCCTATCTAAGGGGAACCCTGGGACAGTGAAACCCAAAACCCACAGTGGGCACTGTAATGAGGAAGGACTGAGCAGCTGCAGTGTCAGCTGCCCCAGCACTTGCTCCAGGGCATCCCCACTGCGGCACTGTGAAGACCAGTGCAAAACCTCTCCCACTGAAGATGTGGCTGCTCGGTCACAAAGGATCACAAGTGATCCCGCATCATCCTGAGCACCAGGGACGTTACCCAGGGTCTGTAAGTGCAGCCCACATTTGGGCCTTCAGCTCTGATGAATACAGAGCATCCCAGAGGCAGAACACCCCATGGAAAAGAAGTATATAAATAGAAATCCGTGGTTACCTGCTGGTGGAGGCACTGAGTTAGTTAGTCCTGAGTCTGCAAAGAGAGAAAACCAAAAGGTGTGAGGCACTCAGGTTCCTCGTCTCCCCTCAGAGTACATACTATAATCTCATGGAGAGCCATGAAGTGATCCATGGGGAGGATGGCCTGGCTAAAAAACATCCTCCTCCTCACTCTGCACATGAGCAGTTTCCTAAATCCCAGATATCCTCAGCACAGTCTGCAAGTGCAAGGAAGGGTGTTCCCTCTGAAACATGGACCCTGCATCAGGGACACGGACGGACCTGTGACCCGGTGCTGCCCTGCAGAGCACAGAGCGAGGGCTGGACAGGCTTCACCCAGCCTCACACAAACCCCAGGTGGGTTTTCTTCAGGGAACTGCCCCCAAAACACAAAAACCCACCTGAGCACACGACAGAAGCATCTCCATGATGACAGACGTAGTACTGGTAGCTGTAGGGGCACTCCCACAAATACTCTTCGTAGCCTGCACAATTCACCTCCGTGATCACGTACGGGTACGAGTCGCTCGAAGGGAAGCTGCGCATCACCTCGAGGGGGGAGCCGCAGCCAAGCTGCCTGCACACGACCTCAGCATCTTCCATGTTCCACAGGTGTCCACACACCTTCTCCCAGTCTCCGTAGTACAGGATCTCCACGTTGCCTGCGCAGCGGTTGGGCCCCCCGCTCAGCCTCAGCGACCGCCCTTGGACAGACACAGAGCCCTGCGTCAGGCCAGAGAGCTCTGAGCTCAGGCAGTGACGCTGGACAGCAGAGCACAGCCCTCCACGTCCCCTCTGGACACCCCTCTGCACCCACAGCACAGCTCAGGGCTGGCAGCCCCTTCCTGGGCTCCCACGCTGAGGGACGGACAGGCTGGGCCGGCAGCAGGTCCCATCCCCGCGCCCAGGGCCACCAGAAGGGCCTTGGCAGACACACTCACCATCACCTGTGATTGGAACTGGAGGAGAACAAGCAGGGAAGAAGTCACGAAGACAGAAAATGAATTAGGACAAATGATCTGGGAGCTGTCAGTGCTCTCTACCGTTTCCCCAGCGAGTCAAGCTCCCAGTGAAGGGCACAAGTGACAGATCTTTTTGTTTCTGGCAAGGAGGCTGGTTGCTGGAGGGCAGAGCCGTCCCTGAGTTCCTGGCTCCTGGATATTTTACTCCTTGCATACATCCCTGGCCCCACTCTAGGGCAAGCATGAACTTTTTCATCATAATAATTTGTTCTCAAGAATAAATACTATGATAAAAACATAAAGCTATCACTATCATGTGAAGTAATAATATGGTAAATTCCATTTACAAGTCGTGGGGCCAACTGTTGTTGGGGGAGGTACTGCTTCTTCTAGAGAAGAAAAAAAAAACCATAAATGATACCATATGTGAAGGCCAAAAAGGCAAACATAATATGAAACTTCCTCAAACCCTGTTTCAGTCTCAAGGAATTAGTAACCAACAAATTTTAGACCCAGGAGATTTCTTTTTATTTTAGTAAATCACAGCAGTTTTTCCTTCCTTTAATCATCAAATCTCTTTGTGAACCCATCAAAAACCTGCAACTGGCCCAGAGACTGCCAAGTGCCCTGGAAGTCAGACCAGTTTTCATAGGGGAACCAACCCCCTGAGCTGAAAGGCAGGGATGGGGAGCAAAGTGAAGCCCCCATAATCCAAGGGGAAATTGTCAGGGACACCCCCAAATCTCTGGGGGTGGATGGGAACCACCCAAGGGAGATGGAGGGGCTCAGCCTAGAGAAGAGAAGGCTCAGGAGGGGCACCTTATTGCTCTCTACAACTGCCTGGAAGGAGATTGTAGCCAGGTGGGTGTCAGTCCCTTCTCCCAAGTAACAAGTGATAGGACAAGGGGAAATAGCCTCAAGTTGGGCCGGGGGAGGTTTAGATTGGAGATTAGGGAAAATGTAATCATGGCAAAGGTTGTCAAGACCTGGAACAGGCTGCCCAGGGCAGTGCCCAGGCACCCCAGTGGGGTCACTATCCCTGAAGGGATTTAAAAGACATGTGAAAGACACTTATAGGTGTAAATGTGTGGGCCATAGTTTAGTGGTGGGCTTGGCAGTGCTGGGTTAATGACTGGACTCGATGATCTAAGAGGTCTTTTCAAACTTCAACAATTCCCTGATTCTATCTGCTGGCTTCACCTGATCTGATCAGAAGCTGATGGCTCTGCTACTGGCATGAGAATAGGCTGTGGACAACTGCCTCTCCCTCCCTTCCTCCAAACCAGAGGAGGACAAAAATCCTAACAGAAATGGAGCTGACACAAAACATCTGGGGAGATGATCACAGCAAGGCCAGTGACAAGGGAGGCTGCACATCCAAAAGCTGCCCGTCACGGGTTCTGCTCACGTTCCCACCACATCTAAGCTTCTCTCATTCCCTTCCACCCCCAACACCACTGATTTCATCAATACCATGCTGCTGAGTGCCGCTAGAGTCGGTAACTGGGTCAAAGAAGGGTTTTCCCCGGCTAAGGTTCCTGTACGGCTGATGGAAAGCCTCCAGGTGGCACTAAGATATCGAGGGTGTCCCATAGGACAGGGCTCTGGCCCCCAGGGAAAGGTGATCTCCTTCCTAGTGCTTCTGTGATCAGGCGACAGCACCAAACATATCCAAATTAATAAACGTAATCCAAATTAATAAGGGCATTTCATGTGAGTCCTGCTCTGTCTCTGTACAGGTCATTTGAAAAATGGATTATAAACCTGCACTCAGTCAAAATTCATCTGTGCAAACTGTGGATAACTTTGCTCTGGGCTTTCAGATACTCAGAAACTGCTGCGTTTGTAAAGACTCTGTTTCTAACATGGCATTGTGATGCCGAAGTTTTAGCCCGAGGACCGACTTAATTAAGCTCTTCATTGCAGTGATGGCTGAGAAGAGGGACACACCTTCACTTATGTGCTGCATTTTAAGTGCATTTATGTACCACTATACAGATTCTGTAGGGGTGCATTCAGACCTGGGAGTCCAGGCTCAAGGATACCGAGCCCCTGACTAAGCTGGTGGGTTGGCTACACTGGCTACAACTGCACCAGAGGAGTTTTCAAATGCAAACATCAGCCTGGAGAGAATATTTATCAATGCCAATCCTATAAACCATAGGCACTTTTGTATAACTTTAAAGTTACCTGGTGTTAGAAGCCATTCTGGAACAGCATCTCTTGTAGTCCAAGCTGTAGACAGCGTCAACACAAGCGAAAACAACAATAAAATTAGAAAAAAAAAAAAAAAAAACAGAACAAAAAGATTAGAAAAAAACCCAAGAACATTACATGAATTAAGTAATGAGGATGGGAAGTTTGCATGCACAGGGTCCCCTGGTGGCAGCTGTTTTTCAAGGGTGATAAAAATCCTTCTCTAAAGACAACCTGAGAGGTGGGAATATGTCCCCACTGATTAAAAATGTATCATAAAACTTATAACACTGGCTCTCAGACTCACAGTTTATGTATTTAAAGTGATTTCTGGATGCAGAAGATCCTAACAGGGACATGTGTAATGTTTTCAGTCATTAGGGTACTTTACAATGCATCCCACCACACTGCTCCTCACGCCTGCAAGGCTTTAAACCTGTATTAATTAGACGGTAATGAAAGGATTAAACAGTAACTCAATATTTTCCAGCTGAACATCAATGTCCCAGCTTAGTTTTCAGTGTTACTAATGGCACCTCAAATATTTATGGAGGGAGTAAATAATAAGGGCATTAAAAACTTGAGGAAATAGGCCTGAATGGTTATTTCTTTCCACTGTGTACATGGGAGCACAGAAAGGGAAAGCAGGTTTTTGCTTTTGGTTCATTAGACCAAGCCAAGTTCATTCCAGAATTTTACACCTGAAAGAGGAAGGGATGGAAAGAAAGTGTGGCGACACTTTTTGATCTTTTTCCATCCTACCCTCCTGCATAAAGAATGCAGCAGCAGCTGCTTAAAAAGAAGTGCCTTGTCTCCCCCAGCACCATGCTGGCACTCTGCTCAGCCAGG